TCTCTCCCGTTTTTCTCTGTTTGTCTGATGTTGGGTCAGATGTGTCGCCCGCTCTCCCCCGTCTCTCTCTGTCTGTCTGATGTCGGGTCAGATGTGTTGCCTGCTCTCACCCGTCTCTGTCTCTGATGTCGGGTCAAATGTGTCACCCGCTCTCACCCGTCTCTCTCTCTTTCTCTCGGTCTGATGTTGGGTCAGATGTGTCGCCTGCTCTCACCCGTCTCTCTCTGTGTGTCAGATGTCGGGTCAGATGTGTCACCCGTCTCTTTCTCTCTCTCTCTGTCTCTCTCTCTCTGTCTGTCTGATGTCGGGTCAGATGTGTCGCCCGCTCTCACCTGTCTCTCTCTGTCTGTCTGATGTCGGGTCAGATGTGTCGCCCGCTCTCACCTGTCTCTCTCTGTCTGTCTGATGTCGGGTCAGATGTGTCGCCCGCTCTCACCCGTCTCTCTTTTTCTGTCTGATGTCGGGTCAGATGTGTCGCCCGCTCTCACCCGTCTCTCTCTGTCTTTCTGTCTGATGTTGGGTAAGATGGCTCTCACCTGTCTCTCTCTCTGTCTGTCTGATGTCGGGTCAGGTATGTCACCCGCTCTCACTCGTCTCTTTCTCTCTGCTTGTCTGATGTCGGGTCAGATGTGTCGCCCGCTCTCACCCGTCTCTCTGTGTGTCTGCAGCTGAATGATGGTCAGTTCACGCCCATCCAGCTGGTGGGGATGCTGCGTGGGATTGCGTCCGGTATGAAGTACTTGTCGGAGATGAGTTATGTTCACCGGGATCTGGCGGCGCGTAACATCCTGGTCAACAGTAACCTGGTGTGTAAGGTGTCTGACTTTGGCCTGTCCAGATTCCTGATGGAGAACTCGTCTGACCCCACATACACCAGCTCGCTGGTGAGGATCTGCTGCGGTCACACACATCCTACCCTGCTACACACACATACAGAGTCCCACCAACATTTCATTACTTTTTTGTGATTAAAATGACTGATTTTGTTATGGTAATTTCCAGTTCTGCTGACAATTTGCAGTGTTTTTTATAATTAGAATAACACTTTTTTTTGTTTTTTTTGATGAAAATGACTGATTTTGTGTCAGAAAGTTCCAGAATTTATCAGAACATTTACATTGTTTTGTTATCATTTGAAAAAATAATGATTTTGTGAGTTTTCTAGTCAAAATGACTCTTTTTGTGGCTGTAATTTCCAGAATTTAGCAGAAAAATTGCAGTAATTTTTGGAATTAGATGGGATTTTTTGTGATCAAAATGCAATAATTTCCAGAATTTTGCAGAAAATTCGATTTTTTTTTTAGTTGCAATTGCAGATTTCTTGTCACTTTTTTATGATCAAATTGACTGATTTCGTGGTGATAAGTTACAGAATTTTACAGAAACTTTGCCTTGTTCTTCATAATTAGAATAATGCATTTTTGTGATATGCCATATTAACATTTTTACCATATTACATATAACAATAGATATCCAATATTCATACATGACAGAAAAACAACAAAAGTAGTCATTTATTTTATAATGTTTTTTACCAAATTCTGACACACAATTATTAAACTAGATAGTTACTTTGTTATTTAGTATTTTTGTTTTTAAAAATAAGAACAAAGAAGCAAATTTACAAACAACAGTGCAAAGATACAAATGAAATAAAGAGTGTTTTAGTTTTGGTATTCATGTAAACACACAGAAAATGAAATAATGGCATGTAAAGTAAGACTGCGCACTCACAGCAGAGAATCGTGGTGTTGTGCTGTTGATGATGTTGGTGATGTGTGTGAGCGTCAGTGTCGTTGAGCTCAGAATCTGTGTGTGTGTGTGTGTGTGTGTGTCTCAGGGCGGGAAGATCCCGATCCGCTGGACGGCTCCTGAAGCCATCGCCTTCCGTAAGTTCACCTCGGCGTCAGACGTCTGGAGCTACGGCATCGTCATGTGGGAGGTGATGTCGTTCGGAGAGAGACCGTACTGGGACATGAGCAACCAGGACGTGAGTGAGGTTTCAGAGCGCCTGTATAATCTGACGGACGAGTGTGTTCTGAGCCGAGTGATGATGATGATGCGTGTTTGTGTGCAGGTGATCAATGCCATCGA